TTCCTCTCTTTTTTTCTCCCCTCTGTCTGCCCTCGCCATCATCTGTGTCTCTGTCTGTCCGTCCAGCACTCCTTGTCTCCTCTGGCTCTCCCTCGATGGGTCACTCTCCAGGTTTTGTGTCTGACTCCTTCTGGATTGCTCTCCCATCCTTGGCACCCTCTGGACTGTCAGGGCTTATCTCCATCTTTCTGCCTTCTTCCCTTCCTGTCTGCTCAGGCTCAGCTCCTGCCTTCTCCTGGCAGCACAGCCCATAAGGTCGAGACTTGCACTGGAGTGGGGTGGGGGGCTGCCACACCTCGCACCCTTCTCGTTTTGTTTTTTTTTTTTTTGGTCCGGTCGTGGGCCTGAACTCTGGGCCTGGGCGCTGTCCCTCAGCTCTTCAGCTCAAGGCTAGCGCTCTACCACTTGAGCCACAGCGCCACTTCCGGCTTTTTTCTTTTTGCTTATGTGGTGCTGAGGAATCAAACCCAGGGCCTCAGGCATGCAAGGCAAGCGCTCTACCACTGAGCCACCTTCCCAGCCCCAACACCTCGCACCCTTCTGCCCCATCCGCTCCTGTAAATCTCAGGAGCCCCAAGCTTCCTCTGCCACCAGGTCCCAGGGCAGGGGCTGTCACGCAGCCACCCTGGACGGTCAGCTCAGCTTGTTGTGGGGCAGATAGGCCCTGACTCCTGGCCTGCTTGGCGTACAGGTGGGGCATGCATGCGCTGCTGTTCTGGGCTGTACCTGGAGTGCCACCTGCCCGCCCGGTGTGGGCCTCCCCCCAGGGGTTTCCTAGAGCTAGGTCAGTCCTGCAAGTGCCTACTGCCAGTGGAGGGATGGGGATCCCTAATTCTCTCCTTGACAAGTCCGTTGTCATCCCCCCCACCCCCCAGCTGCCCAACTCTCAGCCAGGGGCCGCCCCGCCCCCCAGTCTCCCAGCTCTGGGCTGCTCTGTTCGCCATATTTGGCCACATGCTCCCGCAGGGGGCGGGGCAGGGCTGACATCACCAGAAGGGGGGCACGGCCTGGATGAGGGGAGGCTGCCAGAGACTTGGGGGAGGCAGGCAAGTTGCTTCAGAAGTCTGGGGCTGCCAGGGCCCCCCATGGGCCAGGCTCCTGCTGCTCCCAGGGAGACAGGCCTCAGCGGGGGGGCGAGGGGGGGAAGCTGACACTCTGTTGGGAGGGGTCCCAGCCACTCTGCTCCTCCCACAGCCCACTGGCAGTGCCAAGCTGAAAGCCAGGGGGTGGCCAGCCCCCCAACTACTTCCATCTGTCACTGGAGGGTCTCACCCCTGCCAATAGCATGCCCCCTCCCCCCAAATATTTGCCTTAAGGGGGCAGGGGACTGAAATATAGGTTGATGACCTATCCTGCTTGTCCTATTCAGGGTCATCAGGAGAATCTTTGTTGTTGTTGTTGTTGGTCGTGGGGCCTGAACTCTGGGCCTGGGCGTTGTCCCTCAGCTCTTCAGCTCAAGCCTAGCGCTCTACCACTTGATCCACAGCACCACTTCCGGCTTTTTCTGCTTATGTGGTGCTGAGGAATCGGACCCAGGGACTCATGCATGCAAGGCAAGCGCTCTATCACTGAGCCACCTTCCCAGCCTGTCAGGAGAATCTTAATTGTGTCTTTGTGACCTCACAGGACTGGACAGTAGAGTGGGTACCTTGAAACGGCGAGACGTATGAGCGGCGGGGCAGGGCGCCCTCTGCCTGGACCTCCACTGTGCAATCGGAGGGCAGTGTGGTGGAGAGCTAGGCCTCCCTTGCCTGTCCCCGTGCTGGGGTTCCGGGTTCAGAACCCCAGCTCTTGCTCTTACTTGTTGTGTGTCTTTGGATAAGTTGTCAAATCTCTGTTCTTCAGTTTTCTCATCTGTGAAGTAGGATCCATAGTAGTGCCGCCCCGCCCCCCCCCCCCCCCCAAACAGGGTTATTGTAAGGATGGGCGAGCCAGTGTGTGTAAAGCCCCAGAACTGAGCCTGCCTGACGTGGGGCAGTGGCTGTTAGTGGTAATACCAAGTCTAGGAGATAGGTGTGATGGTGCACTGGGGAGACTGAGGCAGGAGGATCCAAGTTCTAGGTAAGCCTGGGATACATGAGACCACACCTCTAAACAAACAAGTAAATGAATAAACTGGATGTGTGCTCCACCACCCCATGCCTTCCCTGCCGCCCAGCCACCAGTGACCCCACACCCCTCCTAAGCAAACACCCCACTCCGTAAGAAGAAGCCACTCTCCCCATCTGGGAGGACCCGGAGTTCATGCTCCCCTCCCTGGGCTCCTCACAGGTCCCCATCTCTCCACCCTGGCCCTGCCGTGGAGCCCTGGAACTGGCTCAAAGGTCCAAGGGTCATGTGGGTGAGGGGGCATCGCGTGGGTGAGGGGGTCTTGGACTGTGTGCGGTGGGGACTGGCTGAGTGCGGGCTGGATTAATACACTCAGCCGGAGCTCAGCAGCCTGTGTGCAGAGGCCTGGCCCTTCTGCCATGTGGCCCGGCCCGGCCAGGGAGGCTGTGGGTGGTTTATGGGCTGCTCTGGGGCCACCGAGGTGCGGGAACAGGAAGTGGCTGAGGAGCAGTGGGGCGGAGCAAGGCCACCCTCTCAGCTGCTCCTCCAGCCAGTGTGACTCCCGCTGGTCATGCCACCAGAATTGCCCCTGCCTCATCCCTGAGTTTGAGCTCCTCCATGGGATTCTTTTTTTTCTTTTTTTCTTTTTGGGTCTGGTCGTGGGGCCTGAACTCTGGGCCTGGGCGCTGTCCCTCAGCTCTTCAGCTCAAGGCTAACGCTTTTTGTGTGTATGTGGTGCTGAGGAATCAAACCCAGGGCCTCATGCATGCAAGGCAAGCGCTCTACCACTGAGCACCTGCCCAGCCCTTTGCTTACTGGGATGAAGCCCTGGATCTTGTGCTTGGGAGGCTGGTGCTCCACCCACTGAGCCACGCCTCCAGTACAGCCCTTGTTTTTCTAAGACAAGGTCTCACTATGTAGCTGGCCTGGACCTGGCAGTTCGCCTACCTCAGTTTCTTGGGTGCAGGGGTGATAAGGGTTATGGCTTTAAGGAAGGTGAAGCCACCCCTTCCTGTGTCAGGAGCTGCCCTCATCCACACCAATCCTTGGCAGACCTGTGCTGATGCTGATGTGAGAATGAAGGATGGGAAGCTGAGTACTGGTGGTTCTGCCTGTAATCCCAGCTACTCAACAGGCTGAGATCAGAGGATGACCGTTCACAGTCAGCCCGGGCCAAAAAGTCTGAGAGACTTATCCTCCATGAATCAGCAAAGTGTCAGAACTGGAGGCCTGGCTCAAATGGTAGAGCACCAGCTATGAATACAAAAAGTGTGAGATTTTTTAAATTCAAACCCTGTGATTGGCAGCTTTCAGTGCATGAAAAGCTAAGAGACAGCACACAGGCCTCAAATTTAAGCTTCAATACTGGCACAATTTAAAAAAAAGAAAGGGCTGGGAATGTGGCTTAGTGGTAGAGTGCTTGCCTAGCATGCATGAAGCCCTGGCTTTGATTCCTCAGTACCACATAAACAGAAAAAGCCAGAAGTGGTCCTGTAGCTTAGGTGGTAGAGTGCTAGTCTTGAGCAAAAGAAGCTCAGGGACAGTGCCCAGGCCCTGAGTTCAAGCCCCATAACTGGCAAAAAATTAAAAAAAAATCAAACAATAAAGAGAAAGACAGACGCTGGCTCATGGCTTACATCTAGCTGTTCAGGAGGCTGAGATCTGACGCTCACAGTTCAAAGGCAGCCCAGGCAGGAAAGTCTGTGAGACTTTTTTTTTGGTCGGTCGTGGGGCTTGAACTCTGGGTTTGGGCGCTGTCCCTCAGCTCTTCAGCTCAAGGCTAGCACTCTACTGCTTGAGCCACAGTGCCTGCCACTTCCGGTTTTCTAGTGGTTTATTGGAGATAAGAGTCTCAGGGGCTTAGATCTGAGGATCGCGGTTCAAAGCTAGCCAGGGCAGGAAAGTCTGAGAGACTCTTATCTCCAATAAACCACTAGAAAACCAGAAGTGGCTCTGTGGCTCAAGCAGTAGAGCATTCGCCTTGAGCTGAAGAGTTCAGGGACAGCGCCCAAGCCCAGAGTTCAAGCCCCATAACCACCACCACCACCAACAACAAAAAGAGTCTCACGGAGTTTCCAGCCTGGGCTGGCTTTGAACTATGATCCTCAGATCTCAGCCTCCTAAGTAGCTAGGATTATAGGCGTGAGCCACTAGCGCCCCGGTGCTGTGAGACTCTTATCTCCAAATAATCACCAGAAAACTGGAAGTGGTTTGAGGCTCAAGTGGTAGAGCCCTGAGCTGAAGAGCTGAGGGACAGTGCCCAGGCCCAGAGTTCAAGCCCCATGACCAAACAAATAGACAAACAAACAACAACAAAAAAAAAACAGCCTGAGCAGGAAATTTATCTCCAATTCACCACCAAAGAAGCTGGAAGTAGAGAGGTAGAGCTCTAGCCTTGAGCACAAAAGCTCTGGGACTGGCACAGTAAAAAATGAAAAAGAATGAGGGATGGGGTCCCTGGCAAAGATTTGACCTCTATGGCCTCCCCCCCCCCCGGCCCCACACCCACCCAGAAAGCTACAAAAACACTGGGCTCGCCCTGTAGGCTCTTTCTTAGCATGACACCCCTGGCAGCCATGTTGGCCTGTAAGCCTCAGTTTCCCCCATCTGAAAACTGATGGGTGTCACTGCTTGCCTTCTTTCCTGCCAACACATGGGAAGTGCTCCACCAGTGCAGGGCCACATCCCTGTAGTCTCTGTTCACCCCCAGTCCTGCTTCTTGCCTGCACAGAGGTGGCTGGTGCTTTGTAATTTAACCCCTAAGAAACCCCATTCTCACTTCCCAGATCCCAGGTTCAGAAAGGTATAGTAATGCACCCAAGGTCACACAGCATTCACTGTCTCCATCCTGCTGGAGCTCTGTTCCCCCCCACTGGGGAGGAGGTGGTGGCAGGAGTGGAGTCGACTGTGGTCCACAAGGCCCTGGCCTGACCCTCTGTGCTGTCCCCCAGGCTCCGGCTGCCCAGTGGGCTCAGGCCCAGAGCCCAGAGCAACCAGCACAATAGCGTCCAACAGCTGGACCACCAGCAGCAGCCCCGGGGAGGCCCGGGAAGATGGGCCCGAGGGCCTGGACAAGGGGTTGGACAACGATGCGGAGGGCGTCTGGAGCCCGGACATCGAGCAGAGCTTCCAGGAGGCCCTGGCCATCTACCCGCCCTGCGGCCGGCGCAAGATCATCCTGTCGGACGAGGGCAAGATGTACGGTACGTGCTCGGAGCAGCAGCAGCAGCAGCAGGCCGGGACACTGGGCGGCCAGCGCCCGCCCGGCCTCCCCTGCTCTCTGCCCCCTCACCCAACCGGTCTGGGAAGTCCTGGCCGCCCATGTGGGGCAAGCCTGGGCCTGCGTCTGGGGCCTCCTCCAGCTGCTCCTCACAAACAGGCGGCCGCAGCCCACACTCACCGCCTGCCCTTGCTCAGCCTCGCCTCCTTCTTGGCCTGGAGGTTTCGGGGTGACTCAGTGGGCCCAAGAAACTGGGTCATTCCAGTCTGCTCTAGGCCAGGCCTGGACAGGGTTCCGGCCCCAGCAGAGTGGCAGGAGGGTGCCTGGGGAGACGGCCTGGGGCGACACCGTGTGACAGGGACAAGAGAAGTGGGGTGCGGGGACCTGTCCACTGTCGTGAGGCCTTGCGGGGCCCTCTCACTCCCTTCCGGGAGCAGCGGCATCTGTAGGCTCCTCAGCCCTGGGCCTGGCTCCCCTCCGGCTCCCCTGCTCCTCCCCAGGCCCGGGGCTGGGGAAAGCCCGCCTTCCCTCCAGCGCCCGGTCACCTGGCCCTCCGCCCCGCCCTGGGCCACATCTGGCTTTCCCCAAGCCCCGTTCCCAGGACAGGTTGAGGTTCTGGGGTGCCTGCCTCCCCTGCTGCTGTTCCAGGTTAGGGGTGAGGGTGACCCACAGGGTAATTTTAGATGGGTGAAGGGAGGGGCCGGGCGGGGCAGGGCCTCTTCTGTCATGGGAGAGGAATTTGGGGAATGTGGCTGTTCTGCGGAGGCCAAGGGGCAGGGAGCTTGAGTTTGGGGTTGAGGGGCCCTGGCCATGGGTCAGGTACCCCCCCCCTTTCAGGGCCCAGAGGGTCGTGTAGCTGCGCAAGGCCCCACCCACAGGCTCACTTTTTCAGGGTGACATGGGGTGTCCAGCAGAGGGACAGGGCCACAGGCTCGGGACGCATCTTGACGCAGGCTGTCCACGGAGGAGACCGCGCTGCAGCGCCTCCCTCCTGTCTGGTCCTTCTGTCTTCCTTCGCCAGCCAGGGGAAGGGAGTGGGACCAGGATGGAGCGGGCCTTGCACACACGTGCATGGGGATGCGTGCCACCCTCGAGGGCAGAGCCCCTGCACACGGGGGTGCCTCAGCCTCTGCTGAAGGGTCCCGAGCCCCTGGCCCCATTCTACTCTCATGGACGTGTAGGAAGCCTGTGAGGTGCACCCTGTCCCCTGGCGGTGGTAGGGGTGCACTGGGGATGAGGCCCAGGCTTTGGGGCCTACTTGTAGAGCTTGGTAGATACAGGGTAAAGACTAGCAGAGAGTGGGGGGGGGGCGGATCCCAGCCTGCAGCCCCGCCCTGTACCCACGCCTCACTTTTCCCCTCTCCCCGTCTAGGTCGAAATGAGCTGATTGCACGCTATATCAAATTGAGGACGGGGAAGACACGGACGAGAAAACAGGTAGAGATGATGTGCGCCAGGCCCCGCCCCCAGCTCCCCTTCCCTCTCCTGGTGACTTCTTGTGCCCTGCTCTGTACCCCTTGTTCTGGAAAGATGGCCCTGTGCTCCCTGATGGCCTGCCACCCTCCCCATGCCTTGACTTCAGGGACCTCAGGGAAACCTACGGGGCTGCTGGCAGCCAGTGCCCCCTGCTAGGAGTGGCCGCTGACCAATTGGGGAGACAGATGGACAATTGCGGAGCCGGGGGGGGCATGAGACTGCGGGGGCGGCGAGGGGTAGGAGGGCAGCAGCCAGGCCGGTGTAGGGAGGACCCTACCTGCTGGGCAGTTATCTGTACACATGACAAGAATTGTGGGTCACCTGATATCACAGGACAGATTGGGCCCTGCCCACAGCAGCTGTACCTCGTGGTCCCAGTGTGTGCTGGGTGTGTGCACACGCTGGATGGATGGACACACAGTGAAATCCTGGGATGATGCGCTTCTCAGAGCATGTCCTGTTGCTTGTGATCGTAAACTACTCAGAGCTGGGCTGGGAAGGCGGCTCAGTGGTAGAGCGCTTGCCTTGCATGCATGAAGTCCTGGGTTTGATTCCTCAGCACCACATAAGCAGAAAAAGCCAGAAGTGGCACTGTGGCTCAAGTGGTAGAGCACTCGCCTGAGCTGAGGGGCAGTGCCCAGGCCCAGAGTTCAGGTCCACAACCAAAACAAAACCAAACCACTCAGCACTTGCTCTGTGTCAGTCATGTTAACCCGCTTAGTAGCATTAGGAGGGCGCAGTGTTTCCACCTTTCAGATGAGAAATCTGAGGCAGGGACAAGCTGAAGGGCCGCAGTGGATCCGGGATGAGCAGTGGATCCGGGATGAGCTGTCCAGGAGCAGGCAGGGTGGTGTGGAGGAAGGATGGGCAGAGCTGGGAGGGGGAGTCATCTGGAGATGTGGGGGACAGGTCCCTCAGGCAGCCGGGGCCCTGGAGGACATGACAGGATTGGGAGGCGGAGACCTGGGCCCACAGGGGTGACATCTGGCTGGGAAGGTGGGGGGGGGTTGGTGGACAGGAGGCCAGCTCCCCCCTGTGGCCCTCCCAGGCTTCCTGTCTGGGAGGAATTTGAGCTGTGTGATCACCTTCTGAGATCCTTCCAGATCCTTCCAGATCCCCTCATGTGCATAAGACAAGCCCAGCCTGTCCCAAGGAGACTGCCGTGGGTCTCCTCTCTAGCTGTGTGGGAGGGGACAGGGCTCCTGGCTTGGCCTGCAAGCCAGGCCTGCCGGAGGAAGATGCCAGATTGTTCAGCATACCCACTCCCCCTGTTCTAGCATAGCAAGGCAGGTGTTGGCTCCCCAGCCCCGAGTTCCCGTGTGAGTCCTGTGGGGAGCCTGCTGCTGTCCCCAGCTCCCCAGGGAGGGAGTGCCCATCCAGTCACACCCTGGCCACATCCAGGGTCACTGGAGCCTCTTGTCAGCGTGGGAAGGGTCGAGGGTCACTCAGCTCAGCACGGAACTAAGAGCTGTGTGCGCCTGCGCCTGCCAGCCAGCTGGGGTCTCAGTCCTTCACAGAGATGGCAGCCCCTCCAGCTGTGCTTCTGCGTGCACCTGACAAGGGCCCCATCCTGGCCTGAGCGCAGGCTTTGGAGTGTCTCAAGGAGGAACTAGCTGACAACTTCTCAGTCATTTTGATTTCGCTTTTGGCAAAGAGATGCAGTTTTTCTTGGTGGCATTGGATACATGCGGCAAGTGACGGCAAGTACCAAGCCTTCAGCTAAATATTAAGTGGGGAGTATGCTCCACGAGACTTCTCAGTGTCGCAGAGCTGGGTGGGGTGCACCCCCAAGCGTGAAGGAGCCCTGGTAGAATAGCTTGGTGAGAAGCAAGTGGGCTTTGGCGTCAGACAGCCAGGGTTCAAATCCTGGCTCTAGCATCCAGCTGTGTGGGCTTGGATATGATGGTAAGCCTCTCTGGGCTGGGGGTTCATCGTCTGTAAGTCAGAGGTCATATTGGAACCTCCTTCCTAGTGTTGCTGCAAATCTTTGAGATCAGCAAGGACATGGTGGGAAGAGCAGTGCTTGTGCCCAGCAGCCGTGGGTACCATCAGGAAGTTGGCAGCCCTGGGCTGGGCTGGAGCCTGACTCCTGGGCCGAGGGAGGAGCCACAGCAGCTGCTGGTGTCATTCACAGAGTCACCTTCAGGCTGAGATTAAAAAGAAAAAGAAACTGGGTGCAGGTGGCTCATGCCTATAATCCTAGCTGCTCAGGAAGCTGAGATCTGAGGATTATGATTCAAAGCCAACCTGGGCAGGAAAATCCATGAGACTCTTATCTCCAATAACCAGTGCCAATAAGTAGAACTGTGCCTCAAGTAGTAGAGTGCTATCCTTGGGCAAAAAAGCTAAGGGATAGTGCTTAAGCTCTGAGTTAAAACCCTAGGGGACTCTCTCTCTCTCTCTCTCTCTCTCTCTCTCTCACACACACACACAATTCAAGCCCCTCCCCCCAAACACAAAAGATAGAGACGAGCGGGCACCGGTGGCTCACGCCGTTGATCCTAACTACTCAGGAGGCTGAGATCTGAGAATCACAGTTCAAAACCAGCCCAGGCAGGAAAGTTTGTGAGACTCTTTATCTCCAATGAACCACCAGAAAACCGAAAGTGGCGCTGTGGCTCAAAGTGGTAGAGCACTAGCCTTGTGCAGAAAGAGCTGAGGGACAGCTCCCAGGCCCTGAGTTTAAGCCCCATGACCAA